TTGGAGCCTGTCCTGGAACTTGCTCTGTAGACCAGGCTGGCCTTGAACTCACAGAGATCCGCCTGCCTCTGCCTTTCTAGTGCTGGTATTAAAGGCGTGCACCACCACCGCCCGGCTTGTGATTTGCTTTTGAGACAGGGTCTCACTCTGTAGCCCAGGCTAGCCTTGAACTCTAATCAATCCTCCTGCCTTAGGCTCCCAAGTGTTAGGACTGCAGGCATGCACTATCACGATGAGTAAGACTATACTCCTTAAGTGGGTGAATTGTATGGTGTATAAACTACATCTCAGTAAAGCTGTCAAAAATAATAAACTGAAAAAATTCCTTTTTTTTTTTTGAGACAAGGTCTCACCATGTAGTTTTGGCTGGCCTAGAACTCACTCTGTAGACCAGGCTGATCTCAGACTTACAGAGATCTGCATGCCTTTGCCTCCCAAGTGCTGGGATTAAAGACATGTACCACCCTCATATCAAGGCTGGCATGTTTGGTTGACATCACTGGGAGGCTTGCTATTTTTTTGGTTTTTCAAGACAGTGTTTCTCTGTGTAGCTTTGGAGCCTGTCCTGGAACTTGCTCTGTAGACCAGGCTGGCCTTGAACTCACAGAGATCCGCCTGCCTCTGCCTTTCTAGTGCTGGTATTAAAGGTGTGCGCCACCACCGCCTGGCTTGAGGCCAGCTCTTTTCTGAAGGGAAATGGAGGAGCAGTGGATCTGGGGATCGGGGCCTGGAGGAGGGGAGAGAGGGGAGACTGTGGTTGATGTATTATATGAGAGAAAAATAGAGAAAAAAAAGTGTACCACCATGTCCGGCCATTATCTTTTTATTATTTCGAGAGTGTGTGTGTGTTCATGTATGTGCACATATAGGTCAGAGGACAACTTACAGGACTTTCTTCTCTCCTTCCATCTTGAGGATTCTAGGAATTGAACTCAGGTCTTCAGGATTGGTAGCGAGCGCCTTTACCCATGTAGCCTTCATGTTGACCCTAAATAAACTTTTTTAAAAGCCTAGAGTTTATTTTTCTGTAAACTGTAAAATCAGACGCAAGTCACTAGAACAGCTGCTGGGACACCCGCGTCCACACAAAGCATGGTGGATGGGGGAGCTCCTGGGCACCCCTCCATCACAGTGGGCTCTGGGGAGGGTGGGGCTTCCCAAGGCTACATTGAGTGCTAGCTGAACTTGAAGAATGGCCCTTTGGGGGTCCTGATAGGTGGGGCGCTCAGGTTTTGCCAGGGTCACATGAAATGGCTCAGCAAATAGAAAGTGTTGGTGGTTTTTTTTTTTTTTTTTTAAGATTTATTTATTTATTATGTATACAGCATGTATGATTGCTGGCCAGAAGAGGGCACCAGATCTCATTACAGATGGCTGTGAGCCACCATGTGGTTACTGGGAACTGAACTCAGGACCTCTGGAAGAACAGTCAGTGCTCTTAACCGCTGAGCCATCTCTCCAGCCCGTGTTGGTGTTTTTTAAAGGCACTGATTGTGCCTTGAGGTGGCTATAGGATTTACACAGACACAGGAACAGAGTCATCTTTCCCGTCAGCCCAGTACGGACCTAGCCCCAGAATCCTGGGACTCCCTGAGCCTGTGACCTTACTTCCTTTGTTGGGGGAAGCCTCACTCCTTAAACTCCTGAAAATCCCTCAGGCCTCACGAGTTGGTGGCGCTTGGGCCCTGGGCTGACTGTCCAGGAGTCTTGGAAGCCTTCCAGATAGAGCTGGGTGTGACGGCGTCACGTAGAGAATGAAGCCGTTCCCCTCCAGTGCTGAGTGCCAGGCCTTACCTGCACTGGTGACCTGACCCTTCCCTGCTGAGGACAACTGTGTCCATGCCCTCCCCTGACTACTGACCCCCCATGGACATGGAACCCAGTCCTTGACCCCAGGCCTGTGCTGACTTCGGGTAGGATAGCAGGGTGACCACCATACAGGCTGGCTCATTTCGTTCTGGCAAGGGCTTCCTGGGCCCTAGACTTTTCCTTGTTCTGCTTCTCGCACCCTAGCCCAGGAAGGTGTCCACAGCAGGTTGGCCAGAGGAGACACAACAAAGAACACGATCAGTGGGAACACTAATTTAGGTGCCCCGTGGTCACCCACATTGGTGCCGGCTGCTGCTTTTACAGAGCTCTGAGCAACTCACCCAACCACACTCTTAGTGAGGAGAAAGCAGAGGAGCTGGGCAATGGGTGGGGGCTGGAGACCTTCCCTAAGGTCTGCTGCCAACATCAGGGTGTTGGTACCCTGTTCTTCCCCAGCCACAGGCGTCACGTGGTCATGCTTCCTTTAGCTGAGCGGCAGATGCAGCTGTAAGCATCTCCTGCAGCTTATGCTTCCGGCCCTGGGTGGCCTGTTCTACCCACTACCTGCTACTAACTCTCACGGCCGCCTCACTGGTACGCAGAAGCTGTAGGGCTTCCAGATGTCCTCCTCAGCCCCCTACCCATCCCGTTCAAGAGCTTCTGATGCTTCAGACAGCTCCTCGGCACCAGGGGTAAAGAGCTGTGGCCCTGCAGCAGCTGGCCAGTGCAGGCCCAGAGCAGAGAGGAGTCGTCTCTGATCCAAATCAGGGACGATGGTAGGCTGGCCACTCACACACAGACACACACACACACACACACACACACACACACACACACACACAGACACACA